GCGTTATGATAGCAGGGTCAAGCGTGCGTTGAGGAATCCTCGACACGTCGCAGGGGGGGGGTCGTATTGGCCCGCTGGGTGGAAGAGATCGAGCCATTTTGATGCAGTGGGATCATCACCGTCGGAAGACAAATATCAAGGATGAGTCGATGCCAGGCCAGAGGATTTCCAATGAAAATGATATTTCACCCACACAAAATTTTCGTGATTCTGAGGCGTCCGGTAATTCTTAGTTACTTCAGTGTTTTATCACCACACAAGTTAAAGAATCTGAATTTCGCACGCTTTCCAAGAGATATTTCATCTTTCAAGTAAGACCCCGAATCTGAAGGGATGTGAGGTACACGGCGCATCCGAGAAAGGGTCTAGTTGTTGCGCGCGCTTCAACTACGGCTCCTTGGACAAACAACCTCAATTCAGGAACAATCGAGAGAATTCTGAAAGTGTCCGTGCGCATTTACAGGGAGGTGTACACCATTCAACATTGCGTTAACGGACTCTTCAGGGTTAAATTTATAAACATGTAACCTTTAAAGTTGAGAAACGCTAATCAATCACTTTTCTTAGAAAGAGAAAAGCAATGATTCCAAATCTGCTCTTACTTTAGTACATAATCGCCCTTAAAAGGATATACAGCCGTTGAAATAGTGCCAATGTAGCGAAAAAGTACCTTTCGGCGGTACTCGTGCGAAAATCCTCAACGTAGCCGTTTTTTTAATACTGGACGTTTGGAGCAGTTCTAGTAAGCATTTGATAGAGCAAATCTTCTAGTTTATGATGGCGTATTTACTTTTCGGATTGGATGAGTTTGAACGGAGTTATGGCTTTAGGAAGTAAAAAACTCGCACTCATCACAAATTTTCCTCGTTAATTTTGCAAAATCCTCAACGTGGCCATTTTTTGAATACTGGACGTATGAAGCTGCTTTAGCAACGTTTGGTAGAGAAAATCTTCTAGTTTTGTATGACGTATCAACTTTTTGAATTTGACGGAAATGAAGCAAGTTATTGCTCCGGAAAGTGTAAAAACTCGTGCTCGTCTCGAATTTTCCTCGTTATTTGATCTAAATTTGTTATTTCTTATAACTTCCTGTAATT